TATCTGACTTTAAATTGTTATTGTTTGACTTTGCAATTGCTATTGTCTGACTTTGAACTGTTATTGTCTAATTTTCAACCGTTATTGTCTGAACACTTATCAGATTTTTAACTATACATAAAGTTCTAAAACATAAAATATATCTAGTTATATAATTATATTAAAATTAATTTAATATAAAATATATTAAAATATAATTAGCTTTTCTAAATAATTTTTTGCTGTTGGAATGTATATAATAATAAAAATATATATTTATATTATTTTAAAAACTATTTTCTTTATTTGGCCCTTTAATACAACGGAGATGCTCTAATATATACATCAATGGGAAATTGTAACAAAAATTTCATGAATTAATCTTAAAATTAAAAAAATATTTTATTCTTTATGTTTGAAATGATAGTAGTGATTGCTTTTTTAAATATTTTTTATTGAAAATAAATTTAAATGGTGTATATTTTTAAAAATTATATATTTTTAATATTAATACATAAAAAAATATAAAATAAATTCAAAAAGTTTAAAAACTTGCAGTCACTTGTGTTCCCAAACAAGCTATCAATAAATAAAAATTACAGGTTTTAAGATCTAACGAAGAACAAGGATATATGTTACGAGCTAAGATGTTTTTGAATGCTGAGATTAGATTTATTTGAAGTGAATTTTTTACCTGAACTGTTTGTATCTAGACTAACACGAGGTTAAATAAATACACCTCATTGTTTGATCCACCACCTCATATATCGCAGGGATTATTTCTGAAAATGAGAGGGTATTTTACTATTTTAGCTTTCTGAAAGTTTGGTATATGAACTCTAGCTGGGAGCGAGGAACATTCCATTACTGGACGGTAAGCTAGAAGATTGTACCGGAAACCTTCTGATTGTCCAATATCAATGCTTGAAAGGGCTAAGTATTGCCAGTAAATTCTTGATTATCAATTGCTAGACGAGGTTCTGGTGAAAGGTGATGCTTTGCGTTGCAGAAGCACCACTTGCGTGATACATCCAATCGCCTGAGCCTTCTGAACATCAAATGCTTTACATCCATTCTTGAGTGTCTTCTTGATTGAACAGCTTTTGAAGATTTATAGGAATGGAAAAACGTAAGACAGTGAGAATTTATACTGTCAACGACCCTTACCCCACCTGTCATCTCAACATCTTCATGCTCTAGCTATCAAATGTTTCCACGGAATTAAGGTGCCCGCCGCCGAGCAATTTTCTCCGCCCGGCGACAACAGGCTCCTCTTTTGTTATCTTTTGTATTTTTGTATTTGTAATACTGAAAAAGCCCCAGGGGTATTTTCTAACTTTGACCAGCACGTTTATAATAAAACACCGCGGCGTTTGTAAGACCTACGGTGGCAAGTCAAGATGCAAGATAAAGCCAAAAATAATCCAGGTCTGCTTTTCCCTAATTATGTGGTGGACCATGCCCTATATTATTACGGCACCTCTTATTTCAGGGGATGAATCATCGGTTTTTTCTGTACAACCACTCTTGTTTTAGCACGATAATCATTTCATTGTTGTGTAAAACCATGCATCTTTTTCTTATCTTAATTTCAGTAACTGGCAACCAAAAATATTTCTTGAATCATTGCTAGTTTCGTTTGAACATGTGGAACGGTTTGCTCCTGGAGCGTGAAGATATTTTACAAATTTACGCCCAGCAATTTCGAGACACGTTGCATATTTCACAATATAGTAAAATTGTAATTTATCCCATGTTTTCGGTCGTCGTTTGGAAAAGAGAAAGATTTGATTTTTTTTTTGACATGAATTCAGAATTAAAAATTGTTTGGTGTGACTTTTGTCCATTGATTTAAGTTGTTTTTATTTTTAATTTTTATTTCAAGAAATCATAAAAAAATCTTATTATAGATAACTTTATAATCCTATTATAAAATTAAATAAAAATATATTTGATTATAAACAACCTTTTAACTCCAATAAAATATTATTATAAAATCAAATCAAAATTTTAATTTAATAAAAAAATACAATTTCTAACTTCTAATTAACAAAAAAAAAACTAAAAAATAAATCATCCGCATTATTCATTAGAATAATATTTTTTTAATTAAAATTTTTACTATCCCTTTATATTATATTTATTTTTTATTAGAATATTCTATTTTTATGACAATCCCTTTGTATTATATTTATTTTTTATTAGAGTATTCTATTTTTATGACATGGATAATAGTTTGGTATGTTAACTCAATTGATTTATTTTTTTTATTTTTTTTATTTTTATTCTTAAATATTATGTTAAATCAATGTTTTTTTTTAAAAAATAGAAAATTATCCTTCAATGTTAATTTTTTTTTATTAGGTTATCCTAATTTCATGACAGAATTCACAAGTTTGATAAGTTAACTTGATTGATTCATATTTTTTATTTTTTTTATTTTATCTTTGATATTGAGTTTATTATACTTCATAATTTATTTATTTTATTTTTTACTGAGTTATTACAATTTCATGACCTATGAATAGTGATTAACAAGTTAACTCGAGTTAATTTGGATCATTTTGTGTTTTAAAAAAATTGTTTGTTTTAATTTTATTATTTAACATTAGATTGGTTAAGGATTAAACTTTATTTTTTTTATTTTTTTATGGAGATATATTGGTTTCATGACCGAGGTCACAATTTTGACATTTTAACCGCATTTAAATTGAGTTATATTTTTTAATTTTATTTTAAAAATATTATATTAGTTTCATGACCTAAACCATATACTGTTTAACATTGAATTTATTTTTTTATTGTGTTGTCCCTATCTCATGACCCAAGTGGTGAGTTTTGTGGGTTAACTCAGCTGACTCAATTTTTCTAATTGATTTTTTTTTAATTTTTTAATTTAACATTGTATTTGATTGATAATTAAATTCTATAATTTATTTTGATTTATTTTTTATGATTTTTTTTTTGACATGAATTCAGAATTAAAAATTGTTTGGTGTGACTAATTTTATTTTTTTTGACATGGATTCAGAATTAAAAATTGTTTGGTGTGACTTTTGTCCATTGATTTAAGTTGTTTTTATTTTTAATTTTTATTTCAAGAAATCATAAAAAAATCTTATTATAGATAACTTTATAATCCTATTATAAAATTAAATAAAAATATATTTGATTATAAACAACCTTTTAACTCCAATAAAATATTATTATAAAATCAAATCAAAATTTTAATTTAATAAAAAAATACAATTTCTAACTTCTAATTAACAAAAAAAAAACTAAAAAATAAATCATCCGCATTATTCATTAGAATAATATTTTTTTAATTAAAATTTTTACTATCCCTTTATATTATATTTATTTTTTATTAGAATATTCTATTTTTATGACAATCCCTTTGTATTATATTTATTTTTTATTAGAGTATTCTATTTTTATGACTTTTTATTTTTTTTTAATTTTATTCTTAAATATTATGTTAAATCAATGTTTTTTTTTAAAAATAGAAAATTATCCTTCAATATTAACTTTTTTTTATTAGGTTATCCCAATTTCATGACAGAATTCACAAGTTTGATAAGTTAACTTGATTGATTCATATTTTTTATTTTTTTTATTTTATTTTTGATATTGAGTTTATTATACTTCATAATTTATTTATTTTGTTTTCTACTGAGTTATTACAATTTCATGACCTACGAATAGTGATTAACAAGTTAAATCGAGTTAATTTAGATCATTTTGTGTTTAAAAAAATTATTTGTTTTTAATTTTATTATTTAGCATTAGATTGGTTAAGGATTAAACTTTATTTTTTTTATTTTTTTATGGAGATATATTGGTTTCACAACCGAGGTCACAATTTTGACATTTTAACCGCATTTAAATTGAGTTATATTTTTTAATTTTATTTTAAAAATATTATATTAGTTTCATGACCTGAACCATATATTGTTTAACATTGAATTTATTTTTTTTATTGTGTTGTCCCTATCTCATGACCCAAGTGGTAAGTTTTGTGGGTTAACTCAGCTGACTTAATTTTTTTAATTGATTTTGTTTTAATTTTTTAATTTAATATTGTATTTGATTAATAATTAAATTCAATGATTTGTTTTGATTTATTTTTTATCAAGTTATTTTAACCTCATGATCAAAAAATAATCCTTAATGAATTAATTCAAGTTGACTTGACTTATTTTTTATATCATTTTTAATTATTTTTTTTATAAATTTTATCATTTAATATTAGGTTAGATAAAATCGATTGAGAATTAAGCTCTATAATTTATTTTGATTTATTTTTCAAGAAGCTATTATAGTCTCATTGTTAAAAGTCATATATTAATAGATTAATTCAAGTTAAATTATGTTATTGTTTTTATATGGTTACTTCAGTTTTATGATCTGTATCATAAATTTAACGGACTTACGTATGAAAGTTTTTATGTTTTTTTTAATTAATTTATTTTTTAATCTAATTCTTTACTATTTAATTGGTAATAATTAAATTTTAATATTTATTTTAATATTTTTTATAAAATTATTTTGACTGGTAATAATTAAATTTTAATATTTTTTATAAAATTATTTTGATTTTACCATCTCAATAAAATATTTAAAATGTTAACTCATCTAATATTTTTTTATAATTTTTTTTTATCATCTAATAGAAGATTTAAACTGTTAACTCGTTAAAATCAGAGAACAGCTTTTCTCGTTTATTTCAAGGATCAAATCTTTTATCACCAAAAGAGTTATATTAAGTGAAATAAAAACAACAACAGTAATAAAAATTTAACACGCGCTATAAACACGGGAGCGAGAAATAAAACGAAACTGGAGAATCCAAACCCGATCCCGCAAAACAAAAACGGTTCGAGAGGGTGGGAGAGGAGAAGCGTCCCCACTTTCTTTGAAAAGAAGTGTAGCTTAAAGCAGAAACACAGTGGATCCCACACCAAACACTCACTGGTCCCCACATCCTCTCCTCTCCTCTCTCCCCCTACAATTAAGAAAAAAAAAAAAAAAGGAGAGAGAAGAAAAATAAAAAAATAAAAATAAAAGCAAACACGAGGACTGTAGACTGTACTGCTCCGCTGCCCATTCATACAAAGCAGCGAAAGAAAAGCAAAAGCAAATACTACTCCCTGCAACCAACAACGAAAGCTTTTGTTGCAGCTGCTGCTGCAGCAGCAGAGCCAACCCACAGCAACATTCCAGAGAGAGCGAGCGAGTAAAATTTGGAGAGATTTAAAGAGAGGAATTAAGGAGGAGCTTCGGTTTTGTTGATCAATCAGAAACCTGCAATTTTTTTTAAATCTCATTTCCAAGCTTCTAGAAAGAGAGAAACAAGAAGAAGAAAGAGTTTCAGCTGTCTGTCTGTCTCTCAACAGGATTTCGCGGTACAAGATTCTTATTCTTTCTTTCTTTGTTTTTTTTTTTCAAAAAACGGTGCGTTTTATTTATCCATTTTGTTTCTTTCTGTTTGTTCTCTCTGTTTCTGTTTAAATGTTGTTCGAGGTTTATTCCTTTTGCTTTGTTAAATTCCTTTTTGGGATTTCGAGATGTCTCACTGCTTCAGAATTTTGGATTCTATTGCTGCTTGGAATTGAAGGATTTTCAGGTAAGGAGTGCTGTGACGTTGCTGCTACTGGTGGTAATGGGAATAATCGCAAAGCAAATTCACCGAATTTTCCATTTCTTTATTCTAGTTGATTGTGGATGAAGTTTTAGATTTTCCGTTTCTTTTTTTTATTATTATCGAGTTTTTAGTTGCTTGATCTAGTCCGATTTTGCGATGTTGCGGTTTTCTCTTGTTTTTTTTTTTTTCCAGCTGCTTGTACAAAACGGTTAGTGATTGTGTATCTATTTTGGTTTATGACGTTTTTGGCTAGAAAATTCAGATTATGCATGAATGTATTGTTCAAATATCTAACATTTAGGAAATCAAAGGAATGGAATAGATTTAGTGACCCCGAATTGAAGATTAGCTACTAGATTGGGTCGCGGGTGAAGAATTACTATGAGAAGAAAATCTTGATTGATGATATCTGTATTTTTACTCTTTTTTTTAATTATTATGCTTAAGTGCCTAATCGATTCTTTGATCTCCGTTTGCAGGTCCATTGGCTGAAGGATCCTTCCATGTAATATTACGTTGTACGGAATATGGAAAGGATTGCAGAATCAAAGGCTCATCCTGCTAAATTGCCTGTTGCGAGTCAGGTATCGTCAAGGGCATATGTAGTGTCAGGGAGAGAAGCGAGCCAGGCACCAAAGCTGCAGACAGGTCTGGTAAGAGATGTTGCAGGTCGATTTAATGCACATCAATCTCAAATTACGGACTTTCCTGTGCCTGTTAGACCGTGGAAAGGAAAGGACTATGCAGCTATAGAAGACGACTTAATGCTTGATGTTGTTGTGACTTCTTCTAAGGGCAGTGGTGATTCCTTTGATGAAGGTGGACCGAGTTCTTTCTCTGGGGCTAGTCATCCACCTGAACCTATTGACACAGATCTAATAATGAAAACGGTGTATGTACCAATCAGTCAAAAAAAAGCTGAGCCTGGATGCCTTGTGAAGAGCATGTCTGTGAAGGGGCCTTTTCTAGAAGATCTTTCAATCAGGGTTTCGCCCAAAAAACCAAGCCCAGTTATTCTTTCTCCAGCAGAAAGTTTGGTTGAAGAACCTAATGACTTGCTCGTATTGCCTTCTCCATTTACTGTTCCTCGTGCATCACAAAATACAGAAAACTCTCTCCTTCCACCTGATTCAGAAGAGAAGGAATGTGTGTGGGATGCCTCTTTGCCTCCAAGTGGTAATGTGAGTCCACATAGTAGCATTGACAGTACTGGTGTTGTCACAGCTATGAGCATTGTCAATAGCTGTGCCAGTACATATCGGAGTGATGCTATTACAAGTGATGGCATGCTTACTATAGATAGAAACTGTGAGAGTACAAAAGGGAGTGTTAGTGTTAGAGGGGATTCGCTTGAAAGTGCAAAGACTAGTGTTAGTAGAGCAAGTGACAGTAGCGGTCTTAGTGATGACAGTAATTGGAGCAATATTACTGGCAGTGCAAATAAGCCTCATAAAGGAAATGATCCCAGGTGGAATGCTATTCTTGCCATTCGAGCACGAGATGGAATTTTGGGAATGAGTCACTTTAGATTATTCAAACGCCTTGGGTGTGGAGACATTGGCAGCGTATATCTCTCAGAGCTGAGTGGAACGAGGTGTTTTTTTGCAATGAAAGTAATGGACAAGGCATCCCTTGCAAGCAGGAAAAAGTTGACAAGAGCTCAGACAGAAAGGGAGATTTTGCAGTTGTTGGATCATCCATTTCTGCCGACTTTATATACACATTTTGAGACGGACAGATTCTCTTGTTTGGTTATGGAATATTGTCCAGGGGGTGATCTTCACACTCTAAGGCAACGACAACCTGGAAAACATTTTTCCGAGCATGCTGCCAGGTATTTTTTAGTCTAGCAGCATTCTCGCCATTGTCTGTTATGAATAAAGCATGGTGTCTTAAGTTTTTTTTCCCTTGATCTTGTTTCCTGATATGCCTTCATTTAGCAGTGTGTGATTAAAAATTAGGTTAGTAGTCGTGTGCTACTAACTATTTCTCTTTTGTTGAAGGGACGTAGTTTTCAACTCTATAATAGTTTAACACTAAATGGTACCTGCATGTTATAGTTATTATAATAAACTAATTGATTGGTCAGAACCCTTTCCTTGTTACTGAGGTCACTTCAACACCAACAACAATAATTCTCCTTGCTATGCCAAGTCAACACATACGTAATGACTAATAAATTGCGAAGATGGAAACATAGTGTCATAGTATTTTAGTGTACATCTCATTATCTTTCCTCATGGAAGTATAAAACTAAATTTCCATGTACGAGTTGCTGTTCTTGCAAGGTATCAGGGGTGAAAACCCAGCGAATATTAAACAAATGTTGGGAGTGGTAAGCGTAGAAGAGATGGTTAAGCTTATAGAAAATCAGATTAAATTCTAAAATGCTAAACTCAGCAGCCGTATGTAGCTTCCATACTAGTTGTTTTCAAAATACTAAATGCAATTGTCATCCACTGATTGATGCAGTCATATTTTAGCCCATGCACTGGTGCAGGGATGGGAAATGTACGAGTTTCACCTCCCTATATTGTTAAATATCAATTTCCAATTGCCGGCCTCGTCGAAGTTTAACATGCAAGTTCCTTCCCCATGGGATGGAAGCGTCACCAAACTCCTCTTTCACAATCTAAACTACTCTCCAGCCCAAGAGTGTTTTGGTTGTCTTCTACCTGACAGGATCTTGAGAATGTTGCCTCCTTTATTTGCTAAAATGCTCTAGTCACTGGTGTAAGATCTCACACACAATAAGTGATGCTAGTTCACAAGAGTCTGGATGCGAAACCAAAATATGGTTTATTTCAATATTCCAATTCCAATTCCAATGAAACGACTGACACCTATCTCTACCTCATTGTAGTCCCTATGTGTACTAAACATTCTTGCACTGGAATTTGGAAACTTGATGGAGCACATGAAGCTTCCTTCATAAACTGTTACCTATTGACTACAATGTTCAAATAATGTCCCGAACTAATAGAGCCTGATGTTAGGTTTTTGGTAACTTGGAAACTACAATAATGCCTAATTAAATGAAATGTGGGGATTCAGCTGTAGTCAGATGGATTTCCCACCATGACATTTGAGGAACAAAACAGTTTGTCCCTAATCATGGACAAATGCTATTTGTGCCGCAAAATGTCATTTCCTTCTCTCCAGCTCTCCCTTCTTTGATATGATCTCCCTGTCTTCTTTTTGCCAGAATCAGTAATTTTTAGCAGAGCAGCTACATAATAATTGCTCTCTTCAAATGTGCAGATTTTATGCAGCAGAGGTTTTATTGGCACTTGAATATCTTCACATGCTTGGAGTAGTCTACAGAGACTTGAAACCTGAAAATGTCCTAGTCCGTGATGACGGCCACATAATGCTTTCAGATTTTGACCTTTCCCTTAGATGCGCTGTTTCACCCACCCTGATAAGAACATCATTTGATTCTGACCCTTCAAAACGAGCTGCTGGCGGTGCATTTTGTGTTCAGCCTGCCTGTATTGAGCCCTCGTCAGTTTGCATCCAACCTGCATGTTTTTTGCCTCGCATCTTCCCTCAGAAAAATAAGAAAAAGACCCGAAAACCTCGCCATGACCTTGGGTTACCAGCTTGTGCACTTCCAGAGCTTGTGGCAGAACCAACAGCTGCTCGGTCCATGTCCTTTGTGGGAACCCATGAATACCTGGCCCCTGAAATTATCAAGGGAGAAGGCCATGGCAGTGCAGTTGACTGGTGGACATTTGGCATTTTCTTGCACGAGCTATTATATGGTAAAACTCCATTCAAGGGCTCAGGAAACCGAGCTACCTTGTTCAATGTGGTGGGGCAGCAGCTTAGATTCCCAGATTCACCAGCTACTGCTTATGCTAGCCAAGATTTGATCCGAGGCCTGCTGGTGAAGGAACCTCAGCACAGGCTAGGGGTGAAGAGGGGTGCAACTGAGATCAAGCAGCATCCTTTCTTTGAAAGTGTGAATTGGGCACTAATTAGGTGTAGCACACCACCTGAAGTGCCAAGACCAGTGGAGACCGAGCCCTCCCCGGGCAGGTTCGGTGCTGTTGACAAAATTGGGGTCGGCATTGGAGGCAGCAGCAGTAAAAGGATGGCAGGGACAGACATGAAGTCTGGGGGTAAATATCTAGACTTCGAGTTCTTTTAGTACAGGCCTGTTGTGGTTTATTGTAAGTGTCATTTGTTAATGTTATGAGAACATGCCTGCAGTATCCTGTTCTGATAATCACCTTCCTCATAAGAAGATAAATCATCAGTTGGGAACCTAAGAGGATAAATCTTCTGTTGGAAACCAGTAGCTTCAATTTACAGAGTAGTTTAGGTCCATTGGGTTTTATAGTGGTTGAACATCATAATCAATTTGAATCATTACAAACCTCATATTTTAGTTGAGTAGCAGTCTTAAGAACTGATGCTTTCGATCAAGTCAATGATATCAATGGCTACCTTTTACCAATTATATTACTAAGCAATGCTAATTTTACCATAAATTCTCATTCATTGAACGGGTGGGTTTTGTTGGTGATCTCAAAACTGCAACGGTGAAAATATTCCAGTTTGTGACGGAGGATGATTGTACCTTTCTATGAAGGTCCGATCCTTTTCCTCGAATGGAGGTTGGCATGCCCTTGTTGTATCCATGATTCTTTGGTGATTGAGGTGTGGATGAGTAAAAATACTTGCATATTCAGGCATGGAGGTGGATATATTATATATCTAAAAAAGAAACCATGTATTTTCCTTTTGTTCTCATATTGACAAGATTAACTTTATTTGATATATAAAAAATATTTTATTCTTTTGAATAGGCTATTTAGTGTATTAAATAGAATTTAAAAAGAATGTCGACCTCTATAGAAGTTCTGCATCGAATGCAGTAGGGTAACATCCTATTAAGATAGATATGGAGCACTGGAAACCAGCTCTATTCGAAATGAAGGCATGAAGATGAAGATTAATGTGAAAATATTAAAAAATAATATAAATTATATTTTGATATTTTATTTAATAATTTAAATTATTAAATTGAGATGATTTTATAAAATAATATTAAAATTTTGATAATTATGTGGTGAGTTTAAATTTTACTAGTTTTATTTATTTGATAGGATTAAGGATTAAACATAAAATAATTCAAGAATATATAAATTTTAAGTTTAAAAAGTTTTTATTTGAAAAAAATATATTAATTATATTTGAAAATTTTATTTTATGTTACAGTAGTAACTGGTTACCCTGTCGAGGCAAAATGATTTCGTTTTAGAAATTCAAGGCCCGCAGCGTTCATACCTATCTTTTGCCCATGGTCAATTAGTTTGGTCCCCTCTCTGCAACGCTATCCTACCGTTGTTACATGCTACAGATGCATGCATCTGGACACCACAGCTTCACTCTTGCTGAGTACTTTCTTCCCTCTTTTCAAGTCTGTCGTGGTGGTTCTTGAAGGTGATCGCCCATTCGGTGATTGTCCGACACGCCCTATATCACACCTAAAATCATCTTGTATCTGATCTGACACTTGCACTGTGATGTGTTGTCGTGCTCAAATAGATACGATAACTTCTACAGATCATGAAGGCTTCGTGAGATTCCATAGTCTAATTCCTCCAATAGGAAATTCTTCTTCCTCCTCCTCCTTCTCCTGTTTTTTCTCTTTCTTTCTTCTTTTCTTCCTCCTCCTCCTCCTGTTTTTTCTCTTTCTTTCTTCTTTTGTCTATTGCCATTTTATTGCCATGCATTTGCTTACAAGCACGCCCAACGAGACCAGAACATCTCCTCAGCTGTTTCCAGTTAACATGTTCTCTTCACTGCTAGGCTTTGGATAACTAGATATCGCTGTTTCCAGCTAACATGTTCTCCTCACTGCTAGGCTTTGGATAACTAGATATAATAATTGGCGAAGCAGGATGAGTTGGCTTAAAAATGACAGGTTTTTCCTTCTTTCCATACTTCGACTGCTCATAGAGGAGGAATAATTAGTAGCGTTCTAAAAAGAAAACAGAAATAACCAGAATTGAGAATTATTAGGTATAAATATTTTTTTTGGGTCATGGTTTTTATCTTATTTTTCATCTTTGGATCTGTTTTTTTCTTCAGGTAAACCCTTGAAATAGCTAATAAAATTTTCGGATTCTCTAGTTCAGTAACAGGATTATTTAGCTCAAGCTAGTTAGCAGCATTTGATCCCGCAACAAAACTCCAGCAGATTCCAAGTGTTTTTGGTAGAATCCTTTTATTACCGCAATATAAAGAAGACAAGAAGAGGCTTCGGATCCAAGACAAGAAAAATACAAAAAGCAACTGATTCTTCTTTTTCTAGGTTGAATAATCTAATAATTGTAGTTGGTAAAGATGACTGCAGTTTGCCTTTCAACAGCACTGTTGTCAATTTGTCAGTGCGGATCCAACATAGATGCTGCAGCCTGTTCAGTAAGGAGTGAGAGCCTGTCTGCTAAACTGCCTCTTCAATTATATTGTTATTGTTTAGGTTTATTGCTTGCTGGTGGAATAAAAAATCATTGCCATTAAAAAGCTAAGACTACTGGCTCAGCTGCAGCCATATTTATTTATCTGTGCTCTGCTACCTGTCAAATCTTTTTTTTTATATATAATAAAATATGTGTAGCAGCTGTTAACACATTTTCTAGCATTAGCAAAAAAATTAATTGTTAATGTATATCCGTTTGATTAAATAAAATTATAAATATATGTGAGAACAAATGTTAAAAATTAATTATTAATGCTAATTAAAAACTATATGTGTAAGCAAAGAGATAAATGCACATTAAGAAATCTAGTCCTGTAGCATGAGGAACTCTTCAGTTTTTTCGTTTAATTATATAACAATTAAATTATTTTTTTATAACATAAGTAATGATTTAAGTTTTATTGAAAAATAAAAATTTTCTAGTATAATTTCTTCTTTTCTATCAATATCTTTTATTAACAAAAAAAATAGCTTCGAGAGATATATTATTTATTCAATAAATATTGAAAGCAATTAGAATAATTATCCAAAATAATTTGAACGGTTTGAAATAACGATAGAAAATATTTCTTCTTAATAAAAAATAATTATGTTTTGGTAATTTTGATGTGAGTCTATTAGAAAATAAGAATAATATATTATTCCCTGCCCTAGGAAACTTTTTAAAATTTATTTTTTAATTAATTATACAATAATAAAAAAAGACATTCATATAAAATACGATGAATAAAATTATATATATAAAATACATTTGCTTTCGTGAAAACCTTCTTTTATTCATGTATATTTTCATTGTTTTAATAAAAAAAAGAGCATAGTTTATTGAATAGAAAGTAAGGAAAAAAAACTATTTATGAATACTATAATTATTTGAACTTTATTTACATATAATATTCATGACCACAAGTTAAAATAAAAACATAGCAAGTTTTCCCTTGATTTTTTTTTTCCTGTTGCATTTGGAGATAACATGTTATTTATTTGAAAAAATAAATAAACAAGGAGTCGTTTATTAGTTAAACTCCAATCATCTCAAGTGACCATAAAATAGGATTTCAAAACACATTATCTACTAGTTGAACCCCAGTTATCTTAAATGGTTCGAAAGTTAAGGTTCGACTTCTAGAATCTTGAAAAAACAATTTTCAAGTATTTTTTTTATTTCAAAAGACCTAATAAACACTTACAAACATTTAATAAACCCATTTCTAGTCATAAATAAGCCTTTAATCAATCAAAAATTGACAAATTAACTATAATAAAAAATAATTTCAAGTTCCAATCTACTTTTTTCTACTAATATGAATGATTAAAAAAAATTTAATGGCACTCCTCTTGTTAAATGAAATTCATTAATACTAAAATCAATTTTTTTTTATTGTTAGAATATAGTTAATTACAACTTTCTCTCTTTTTTAGAATCAAAACTTAAAATTCTAAAAATAAGAGATTAGAAAAGAAATTAATGAAGAATATCTGTACTAGAACATGTTTTTTGGTATAAATTTGAGATTGACCACAATTTTTTTTTCTTTTATTTATTTATTAATTGTGTTGATATAAATTCAAGTTTGGAGAAAAAACTCTCAATTCACAGATCATCACAAAAGGTACAAGTAAAAGATCCAATAAAAAAAATTGTTAAAAAAAATACACTACTGAAAACTACTATAAATTATGAGATAGTTACAATTCCCGTAGTAAAACACCGAGGAGATTTAAATTTTATAAATATAATTGTATATATAATGGTATTTTCTGAGTCAGCCTCAAGCACCGATATGGAATTCTTCAGCCACAATTTAGACAAGTCCATTCATAAATTCATGAATAAATTTCCTACTCATTGCCGATTTATCTCTTGAGCTAATTATATCTCAAGGGTTCTTTAGCTACATTTAAATCCTAATTATTTTTGTATTTTAAAAATGTTTTTGAAATTTTTTATATTTTTTCTTTGTTACAAATTAAATTTGTTATATTTTCAAATTATTTTCTTATGTTTATATTAAAAATAGTTTATTTAAAAATAATAAAAAAATATTATTTTGATTTATTTTTAGGTAAAAAACATTTTAAAAAAACATCATTACCATATTTAAAAACATTTCATTCCTGCTGTGCTTTTAGATTGAACAGCTTGATTTTGATCCAACTTTAAAAGCAATGAACAAATTTTCCAAAACAAAATACAAAAAAAGAAATATTTCGTATTGAATTGTTTTTTTTTACTGTCTTTAAAAAGCAAGGAGAGACTGATTATGATGGGACGGTTTCTTCCTTGCTTCTCCTATGCTTAAGGTTATCAGTTGTGTTTTTAGTTTCTGGTCATGAAAAAACTAAAAAGGTGAGAAATTGATAATAGATGATTTCCAGAATAGTCAAAATCATCGCAGATTTTGTGGGCCGAGACGTGACCATATAAATTTTCAGGATCCACATGGGATCGTGATGCTCAGTCAAGAATGTGCTCATGAGCTGTTCGTCTCGCTCGACCCAGTTTTAGAAAAAGAAAGGGAAGGGTGACCGAGTGCACATTTCCAAAAAGCATCCCGAACTTTAGCGGAATCAAACCGAGCCCACACATGATGAATTAACTGGTCCCCACGAGGGCAGTGGACTCAAAGCTCTCAAGCTATAAAATCCACTTTACAAGGTAACAAATGCCAGGAGCTAAAGCAGTAAAGGCAGAAATCACAAGCAAAAAGAAGTTGTATAATTTATTAATCATGCTGAAACTGTGAACCTCCGATACAACAATCCAGGCAAATTCCTGTACAGAGACATCTCCCTCCCTTCAAACTTACAAGGATGATCAAACCGCAAAAAAGTTTCCTATATTTACACGTCACCC